TAGTTGTGATAATTCTGAAGCACTTAGATCATACATGTAAGTCTCATTAGTCCACGATTCCTGACTGTAAGCAAAAAAAAAAACCCCCATTATATAACTGAGATAACAAAACATGCTTTTAAACACTCAGCTTCTCTAAGTAAAATAACAAAAAATTAAGAGATGCTAGCTGAACATAACAATAGGAATATTAGTTCTTTACCACGGGATGTTTAAAAGATGACCAAATACGTTTAAAATACATACTGTTTTCTTTTAACTTGAGACTAGCATTTTTATAGTCCATTATGGATATTTCTAACTTCATAACAGACACTTAACAATAAAGACACTGACGCACTGTTCAACTGAAAGACAGCAAAGAAGGCTACTCAAACACCATTTCAGTTAAGCACAAATCATGATCTATTAAAAGTGCACCTACCACATTTTTGGATTTTAACACTTCAGGGAGATTTAAGCATGTCAAAAATCAGTTTATTTACAAAACTGCCACATACAAAACGATTCACAATGCTTTCATTAAAGCAGATATGCTTTGACTGAAGACTTCTGTTTGAATGTGTTTTAGGTAAACAAGGATAGTGCACCCAGAAACCTAACTAAGTCTCAAGAATTTATTTAATATAATCAATGCAAAGGTAAAGATATAAGTCAGCCTTTAATTTTATGCATAGCTATGTCTTCAAGCAGAAGACACAGAATTCCTAAAATTATAACGTTTTTATTAGAATTCTGATGAACTTTGATGTAAAATATGCACCTACTTTTTTTTATTTTTAAAAAAAGCATATTCTGAAGTGTCTGAACACCATCTGGAAATTACGAAAAGTCATTAAAAAGTAGTAATATTCCATTGCCTCTACTCCTTTTTATCTTACAGAAGTTAAACAAGTGGTGGCAGCACTTCAGATGGCTTGCGTAAAAGATTCAAAGTAGATGTTGAAACTGAACAAGGGAGGTTCATTCTTTCTCCTTCACTCTCACGGTGTACTGCTAATATGGAAATAGTAATGACAATGTAGCAACTCTTAATGACATCAAATTCAGAAGGTCCTAAATTGTACCTACTATGCATCTCACTGTACTGATTTGATTTTGATACATGGATTAAAAAAATAACCCAAAACATGTATACTAACAGACCACATTAAATATTTGATAAATATAATTTACACTGAAATCTAAAGCAGAAAGAACCTGCGTACATGTTCCTTATAGCTGTGCTTTTCTAAATAATAGCACATACTATCACTGCAGTTGCAATAGTTTGGAGGAGAGGGCACTAGTTATTAACATTTCTGAAAAAATTAAACTTAAATTGCATAGCAAAAAATTTAGCAGCTTAACAGAAAGAACCCTAACAGAATAGTTAGCTCTGTGCAGAAATTTGCTTAAACTAATATTAGAGAGAAAATATTCCTGAATCAGTTGTCTTTAATGATATCATACCCCAAGGCCAGAAAAAAAGGTCAGGGATAATTGGTGTAATAGTAGTGCTGGACACACATTTTAAACTGGTATCCTGTGATGAATGCCACCTAATACCATTCTTTATTATATTCTCATTCCAATGCTAGCAAACTTGCAAAAAGCAAGTATATTCAAGTATATATAGCGAGTTCAACATTTCCAGAAACTGATTTCTAATTATTATTTTATAACCTCTATAAGCAATGCAATCTACTGAAAGGACAAACTCTATACTTAAAATCCAGTAGCTGGAAACAATAAAGATACAGTAATAAGCTTAGGAGAGAGAAACCAGACAGAAACTTTCTTCATATTGAAAAGTCTACATAACAAAGAATACATAAGAGTACAATGAAATGGAAAACTGGGGGAGGAGGACAGGAATTTTTTATTATTACTTCCATGGCCTGATAGCAAAAAGATTTTCATTGGAAAAGTCTATAGTTATAATGCAACCCATTAAAGTGTAGCTTTTCATTTACAGGCTTGGCACACAAACAAAAACAATGCAGTTCAACATATTTTAAATGAGTTTTACTTTTCCAAACCTGTCTGTAGATTTCACCAAAATTTTTTTTGCCCAGTAGGAAAACTGTGATATTGCATAGTTCCCCCTGTGTAGGACTGCCATTCTAGATGAACAGAGCACCATTCCCTTCCTATCTCCATCTCTTACCCAGTCAGTCTGTCCTTACTCTTTATTTAAAGACATGACCATGTGAGCACAAATATATGCTACAAGGTACACCAGTGACCTCTGTGAAAAAGGCTAACTGAACAGCTATCTTCAGTAGAATGACACTCTTCTGTGGTAGTTGTAGGCCCATAGTAGTTGGAGCTTTGTTATGCAAATGAAATGATCCCTCCTAGGTCCAACTTACTCGCCCAAAGCTAGCAGTGAACACTTGCCATTGCAGGGGTTTTTCTTCTGACAAGTTCTGGGGTTTGTTCCTTTTCAGACAAACTGATCAAGAATGCCACCAGTAGTGATGCTACAGTTTGCTCCTTTAGAGTTAAATTTACTCTGTGAAAACACTGGAAGAAAATACAGCAAAAGCTGAATTTTCATGGTCTACTGGTTGTAACCTTCTGTAGTTTTCATTTTCACCCTGAGTAGGTGCAAACAGAGTAAGCAAGTTTGCAACAAGACAGATCTAGAGCACACACATGAAAACGTACATAAGTGAACTTACTGTATTGCTGGGAAGTTTTTTGGGGCATTTTCTTGTTTGTGTTTTTTTAGTTTGTTTTGTTTTTAGGCTTTCTGTAGGGGCTACCTGTTACCAAGTAATTAAGAAAACTACAAAAAGTAAGCAAGCAAAACTAATTTTTTCTCCTCACTAGATTTAAACTACTGATATTGGGAGTAAGAAAGCCATAACTAACACACAAAAATGCAATCTGTGTCCAAACAGGCAGAAAACACCGATTTTTCTTCTCAGACCATGACGGCTACCAAAACAAGTTCAAGCTCAAAACTTTGCTGTACAAGTCTAACTTTCAAAATAGCAGCACGTATTTTTTTCTTTTCTGTGTGTTAAGAATACATGCTGATTACACAGAGTGCAGCAAGCTATAAATAATGTAGGGAACACTCCTACATTGTGCACCATGTATATCGACGTAGGGAAAACTCCTACATTGTGCACCATGTATATAGACAGTACTGTACCGTTTGCTATATGCTTGCCAATCACAACCAAATGACCCAGCAAGCCCAGAAATCCCCCAGCCTCTTCTTTCCATAGCTTTTATTTACTTTTTATTACTTCCACTGAACCACAAGAGGCATGGAGTTAACTGTTTACAAAAATCTCACTGGACGAAACTCTCCAGAACACTCGGAGTCTATTGATGGTACCAATGAGAAAACTGTCTTTGTCCCTTCAATTTTTTAAGGGGAGATATGGAAGTTTGTAATCACAGTCCCTGCTTTTTTAATGCTATAGTTCACTGCTTAGAGATGTCACAGCCATATTTTTAAGTATCTTCTAGTTTGTAGACAAGTTACTGACTAGATGTCATGTATGTTCCTAATCACATGAGAAATTTTACATAGTTTAAATCAGATACTTGACTGCGACTAACATTTATTGCCTCCTGTCTAAACTTTTAGCTACTCCCTGAAAACTCTACATAATGGTTTTATGCACTTAGGAGAAGACCTACAGTTGGCCAGAGCTTGGAAAGGGATTATCTAGCCCTTTTCTCACAGTAAGTTCCCCAAAGTCAATCAACTCCTTAAATGTAAAAGCCAGACCTCACTAGAATATAAACTGACACAATGATATTTCAAACACACAGAAAGTGTCTATATGAAACAGAAGAGAAATAAAAGGGATTTTTCATTAGCTCTGCCCCCTGTTGTTGCAGAGGAGTCACTGTTTTTTGGACCTGGGTTCAGTCATCGCCTTGGCTTTCTCAGCTCCAGCAGATTTTGCACAATTTCCTCTGGTCCCTGGGAAGCTTTTCTTTGTCACCACTGCATGACAAATCTCTCCTCAAGCCACAACACAGAGAGACCATCTCTCACATTGATATTTCTCAAGATATGGAAAAATACATTTTGATCGAGGAGTTCTTTCAGTTCTGATCTGAGAGCAGAAACAAGCTCTGAATTAAGAATTATAGTGGAACTGTACCAGATTTCATTTCCTAGTATGAACAAATTATGTAACTTATTTTTATTTTTTCCATAAGATCAGGCATATGGCAAATTAAAAATAATTATATACCATCTTTGCCAGCTAGATGAAAGAGGATAATAGAATTTGCCTTTACTCTTCTGTTCCTCTAAAAAAAAAAAAAATCAGCCATCATGAATCTAATGCTAGCTCATTGAGGATTAGGTAGATATACATGGCTTATTTATAAAATAAGACAATTCCATTTTGCCAAACCTTCAGCAGCACATATCCAGCATAAGCTTTTGATTTTACGCCAAATAACAATAATTTTTCAACTGTAAATTTTTAAGACTGTACTTTTTACTGTAAGACACGTTTGAAGTGAAAAATTTCAAAATACAGTATACTACCATGAGCTTTGGTGAAAAGTAAATGCAGAGTAAATGCAGTTCACAAACTATGCAACTGGCGTATCATAAGCAGAGAACTGAACAGAGAAAACACTGCAGTTGCTTAGCCTTCTCTCAAGTTTTCTCAAAACCAAATTTGCAGGAAGCAATAATTTTTCAGACTAAATCAGTAAATCAGACTAAACTCAGTACAATATTATTGTCTCCCTCAAGAAAGTGAAGCTACTTCATTGTAATTTGACTTTTGTGACTACACGCACTATAGCTTCCAACCAGATCAGAACATATCTAAGACCAGTGCTTGAAAAAGACTATCAACTATATCCCCAAACTCTTATTGTTGTAAGAAGCTAATATTTTACACAGTGCCACCTACAATAAATTGATTATACTTATGGTTTTAAAGATTAAGACAAACATACTTTGTGCAGCAATGTTTTAAATGTCGTTTCAAACACAACAGGAAACCTTGTCATATCTTAGAGCCCAGTTATCTGAAGATAGAGCTATCAAGTTCAAAATCTGTAATTACAAAGAGTATACTGAGTTTTCACAGTAGCTCAATGACCAACAGTAGCTCAGTGGTGTTCAGTGAAAACTGTTGGTAAATCTTTGCAAAACAGCTTTTGCCCACTCAGTTCATAACTAAACGTTTTTAGAAAGCATCTTACCCTGTCCTCTTGGTGTTCGTTTCCTGCGATCTCTGAATGCTGCTCCTGACTGCAAGGCCTCAAGCAGACTATCCATCACTCCTGTCTCATCACCCTCTGAAAATAGGAGAAAAATAATATTAATCTCAGTGCAACTGAAATCAGACTTAAGAAAGAAAAAAAGTTAAAGTGTTGTCAAGTTTGCGTAATGCTTCCAAATAAGAGACATATACATTTCAATGTAATGGATGCTGTCAGTGCTTCAGGTATCACTGTCTAGTTTGCGTATGATGGTCTATTAAGCAAAATTGATGCCAATCCTACTGTTCTTTCAACTCAGAGATGTTATCTTGTGCATTATTGATGACATCTTTAGCATGCAGATAGACAGCTGCTGGTGAATGACTGCTGTTTCACTGTTGAATTCTTTTAAGATTTTCCTGAAGTAGAAACAGGTCACCTCTTTTTGATTTAATCAACACACATGGAAAATCTGATGAAACTGAATGGCACAAAGTTAAATATGGTAGCACTGCAAATATTTTATATGTTGCCTCCTGTCTTTACAATGCATGAAATCATTGAAAAAAAATAAATTATCTATATGACATGTGAGGGTACATACATCATATGCTACACATGTAACAGTATACCATGGATGATCTTAAAGTAAGGTAAGGAAAGAACAAAGAAGGGAGAATCATGCCATGAAAGTAAGTGGCATAGCATTTCTTAAAAGCTGAATTCTACTTCTGCTGAATCTTTCTCTTGTTTTTTCATATCCAAGCTAACCTGTAGCCTTTAAATTGCTGGACTTTATAGTGCATTATGGAAATCTGGGTAGAAAGATTACTTCTTTTTTACATATTTAAGTCTTTAACTTCCTTTGCATTTCAGTCTGTTAATAACAGTTGATAGCAGCATTCAACAGCACAAGAAATAGAGGTCAAAGAATTGCCATGTTACAAAACTATTGATGAACGCCTCTTTTTCTGTTCACGTGCCTGTGTTATAACCCCAGACTAAAATATGGACTAGACTCAGCAGGTAGGTGGACATTTTATTCACATATCTCAGACTTCAAGTTAATATAAATTTCCCCATCACAGAGTGGGAAGATAATTACTTTATGCAAAAGATTTACATTACAGTAAAACACTTCTGACTCACACAAAGTGTAGGAGGTTAAATGCACATTCAGGCTCTCAAATGTTCAAGTTTAAAAGCAGGTTATTAATGCAAAAGGTATTCTGCCCCGGTTCTCTATTACATTTAGATTTATTAGACTAAATCCAGACATGATATAAGAGCATGCCAATCCTAAAACAGTACCTGGTTCAAATTCCTACATGATGATCATCAGAGTAACTACTTGATAAATTTAAATTATACATCAACGTAATTTAAACCATTATGTATTATATACAACACATACATAAAGTTCTCTCCAGTGTAAGATGAAAGGGAGCACAGCAAGAGTAGCAACCAGCAGAAGACTCTGAAATACCAGTTTTAATTACATTCCGTCTAAAACCCTTAAAAAACCTAAGCTCCTGCAAAATGTGTAAGTAAATTATCTTCTCTCAATTCACACTCAAATATACAAGGCCAGAATCTCGTCTAAAGCTCACAACATAATTATTTTTCTTTGTGCTCCTTATCCTACACATGCTTATTCATTGATTTATTGTTGGCTCTGTATAAAATTTGTTTTCTAAATCAAAGGTCTGTGAATACACTTTGTCCAAACTAATACACACCAGGTTTGTCTGAAGCATTTAATGAATGTGAGTGTATTACATCAAATTAGTTAGTATGTTAGAAAATTTTATGTGTAGAAAAATTACAATAACATTCGATCTTCATTAAAGATAAGAGTTGGCAGTGTTTATTAAAAAAGACAAAAATCCTTCAATACTTCATAAATGTTTATGCAGCCTTCCACTTCTTTTTTGCTGAGTGTGCTACTCTACCTGCTAATTACTGCAGCTGCTAAAAAACACCGTCTTTTTGGAATATCAAAATATACAATATAGAGACACATGAATTAAGGAAGCTGTAGAACACAGTAATGAGATTTTTAACTCCTCAAAGTAAAATTTATGCTAGGTCTGATCTCAACACTGCATCTTAATCAAAGTCTTCAGGTGATTAAGTGGGAACTGGACAAAGAACTGCATTTTCAGTTAGCCTTCATTAAAATTCATAAATAAAATTCAACAGAAATTTCAGCCTTTCCCCACAGTTCTTGCTGAGGTACTTCACATATTACCAGCTCTCTCCTTGATTTGCCTTTTTGTTAATACTACCTACAGCAACTTGCAGACACAAATCAGAAACAAAGACAAAAACCACCAGAAATTTCTAAACCGAGAAACTTATTTCCAACAGAAATTGTCACACAAGGATAGGGGTTTCACTTGGAACAAGTAATTTTCTTCCTCATTCTTTTCCAATTTGGTCCCAAGCATTAAAGAGACAGCAAACGTATGTGTGCATGCAAAAAGATTTGCAAGCTGTTTCCATCTTATGAGTGGCTCTATAAGGCTTTGATTAGCCTTAGCAAAGACCCAGATTCACTATAGGTATTAAACAGAACTGAAAAGGCAAAAAAAATCTTATTCATTATTTGATATGTTAACTACAAGCCCGATCTGTTTTCATTTGGATTTCACGCTAATATTCGATTGCAGATTTGGTTTAGGACATACAGTCTGTTTTGAAAATGGGTGCGTTTTTAGGGAGCTACAGTAAAATTTGTCCTCCCACAGGTCCCACGATTTAGATTAGTATTAGTCAACAGATTTTGGCCACTTTCATCGATAATAATGAAGACAAAAATAACTTTCTTCTTCTGTAGAACAATAATATTATTGCTTATTACAGTGCTGAAAAGCCCCAAGCAAGCTGAGAGGCACAGACAGAGAAAAAAGATGCAATACAATGAACAAATAAAGTCACATTTGAGATGAGCAGGCAATCTTAGTATCAAGATACCTAAACTTTTCATAATTTTTGACCAGTTATAGGAATTAGAACAGAAGAAGGGTGTCCTGGTTTCCAGCTGGGATAGAGTTAATTTTCGTCTTGGTAGCCGGTATGGGGCTGTGTTTTGGGTTTAGGATGAGAACAATGTCGATGATACACTGATGCTTTGGTTCTTGCTAAGGAGTGCTTAGTGTCTAAATAGCTGATGAGTAGTGCTTATGCTGGTCAAGGACTTTTCAGCTTCCCATGCTCTGCTGGGTGCACAAGAAGCTGGGAGGGAGCACAGCCAGGAAGGCTGACCCAGACTGGCCTAAGGGCTATTCCATACCATATGACGTCATGCTCAGTATATAACCTGGGGGAAGAAGAAGGAAGGGGGGGACTTTCGGAGTGATGGCGTTTGTCTTCCCAAGTAACCGTTACGCATGATAGAGCCCTGCTTTCCTGGGGATGGCTGAACCCCTGCCTGCCGATGGGAAGCAGTGAATGAATTCCTTGTTTGGCTTTGCTTGCGTGCACGGTTTTTGCTTTGCCTATTTAACTGTTCTAATTTATTTTACTTCAATTATTAAACTGTTCTTATCTCAACCCACGAGTTTTCTCCCTTTTACCCTTCTGATTCTTTCCCCCATCCCACAGGTTGGGAGTGAGCGAGTGGCTGCGTGGTGCTTAGTTGCTGGCTGGGGTTAAACCACGACAAAGGGAAAAAGGAAAAGGAACTAGAGTAGGCCATAACATGAAAGGGTATACAAAAAAAGACTGGCATAAGCTCCATCCACTTATGAATGCTGAGGAACAGTCATATCATGCATCTATAAACAAATTTGCTGTGTATAAATGCAATACTCTGGATTCTACACTTCGCTTTTATAAGTAACAACTGACTTTAGATGAACTGGTCATAATAAGCATTTAGTATTTGTGGTCAGATTTTTATGTTAAATGACATCCTAAACATTAATACTCTGGAACTAGACTGTCAATTTCAAAAAAGGAGGTATTTGACAAACCATAAGAAATTAAACCAGAAACTGAAGATTTGGATGTACAAAAGGGTGGGGGGTGAGGGGTGAAAGACAGTATTATAAACAGAACTACTACAGTGACTACTGCTAGAGATGTATAATAATCCGAACACAGTGAAACTGAGTGAACTTTCACTTCAGTGTTAATGCACATAAACAGTACTACCCCGTGGAACAAAGACAAGATAGATAAATGACCACGGATGAATAATGCCGAACCAGCTAATATAAAGTTTTCTCCGCTGATGTGGAAGTAAATTGCAAATGTCTATGAAATGACCAAATACCTAGTATTATTATTTGAGAACAGCAAATGTAGACTTTGTTTACAAGAAAAAACAAAACATTAGCTGGGGAAAAAAAAAAAAAGGATGATAGTCTTCACCTGGCAATACGAAAGGCCTTTTGAACAAATTTTGAAGGCAACAGAACACAAGATGAGATGACGGTTCTGCCAAAGATATTAGACTAAATTTATGGTTTATGGTTTCTGTTAATGCAATATACTGCACTTCATTTGGCTAGAAAAGTTCTCTCATTTATCTGGTCTTCAACATTTGATATAACGGCTGCTTAATTCATCAGTGGAAGGTGCAAACGATGGTCATTGGTAAAATATCTGGCTAAGTAACAAAAGGTTGTTTATAGAGAGGAAGCTTTAACATTTGAGAGCTTATCAGCTGAATTTTTCTGAAAACCTAATTAGCGGATTTGCCATAACAACAGATGACATACAAATACGAAATACTACCATTTTGGAAGATAAGATCACAACATACATAAGATTTGGAATAATAAAATACATGAAAATAATAGAAATAGAATGAGCGTGTACAACTTCAGGTGCAAGTCAGGAGCTCTTCATTAGGGAATGACCAAGAGCTCCAATATAAAGAGGTGACCAAAGAAACAATGATGAATTGCCAATCTTGATCAGTGTGCTAAAAAGTCAGCATACTCTATTTCCAGTAGTAGTGGTATACAAGCTTGATTACAGCATTCACAGAAGACAAATCACAACTGGAAAAGCCTTTACAATAACCAGGGGAGAGGATTCTAACAAGAAATGCCTAAGGCAGCACAATTTCTTTAGACTACATAAAG